GAAAACCAAAAATTACACCGGTATGTTGTTTCTGACGTCTAATAGACACAAAAAAAATATTTGCCCAACAAATTCCGAAAAATGACCAAAAAAAAACCACCCTAATGCGAAATCATCATACCGGTGACAAACCGTTTGAATGCAAATGGTGAAATTCCCGCTTTTCATTACAAGGCAACGCATATAATCACATGAAGAATGTTCATCGTCAAAACAAGTGAAGATCAGCCCAACCCGATCACTACATTCCACACCAATTACAACAACCGATATTCATCGTTTGTTCAACACCTTTTCATTTAAAGTACTTTTTCTATTCAATAAAATAAATTGACATGTCATTTCCAAATCATAATTATCATCAACTGAATTGAATCAAAAATGTCAAATTCAAATAAAATACATTGAATAAACCCGTCCAAAGTTTTCTGCATTTGCATCTTTTTCACTCCTTATTCTTTGTCTCCATTTAAAACGTTAAAATAAAAGGTAAAAACTTCAATTCAATTAAAGTTCCATTGCTTATTTCAAAAAATGATTAACGACTCTCTTTTGAAAATCTTTGGTTTAATCTGAAATTCAAATTTTGAATTTGAGCACTGCCAACTGTCATTCTGCTTTGTTAAAGTACCAACACACACATTGCTGTTGTTCCCATTATCCTCGTTGCCAACTTCACAAATTGAAGTTCTTCATTGAGAGCACTGCGCAATAAAAGCATAGCAGACAGAAGCAGACGTCCATTGGACAGAGTAACACGTAATTGCACTCTATTTGCGCTCAAAAATATTGAATAACTTGAAGGTGAGTTTTAACTATTACTTTCGAGTGAGAATTAGAAAGTGAAAAGACATAATTGAATTAACTCCGATCCAAGCAAGTAAATTTTAGAGTAAATTAATACATTTTCCTTGAGAATTTTTCGATCGCTCATTTTCAATTTTTGGAATAATAATCAGTGATTGTCAAATGGCTTGCTATAAGCAGCTTGCTTGCCTGCGTCGCCTATCGTGCGGCAAGCAAGCAAACATGCGGACACATATACGGCAAACGAACCATATGTACCAAACAGTTTTCGTTCGAGCGAGATGCAGTATCTGTGTAGACGTATTGGTCGCACGTACGAAAACCGTGTAGTAGATATGTTGTCATTTCAATGGTGTTGCAACTGATTCAATACTTATTCACTAAATCGTTTATGGAAACATTTTTTTCGTGGCAACAACAAATGTGAACTTTTGGGTTTTATTTTTGCTACTTTTCGGATCACATGAATGCCAAATTAAGAATAAACGTAGTTCTTTGAGTTGATCAAATATAAATTTACGGTATTTTATTGAGCTTTTGAATGTATTCTGGTACTCTCCAAGTTTTATATTGCCGATCAGTACAAGTTTTGTGTACTGAGAGTATTCTTTCATTAATTGTAATATGATTCAATCAGTGTGCAACTGAAAATAAAATTTTAAAACTAATAAATTCCAATATATTTCTTACAAATTCAAGACAGAATCACCATGGTTTCCAATTTGGATCCAGATGAAGGTACCTCGGATGGTAGAGTTAAACGCAAGTGAAAGCAAAAGCCAAGCAACTCAAAGTTCACAATCAAAATCGAAAACGACGTCAAATTAGAGCCAAGTGACGACGCATATTTGGTTCAGTACTCGCCACCACAATCGCCAATCGAAGCAAGTGGCACGATTAAATCAGAGAGCGAGAGCGATGAAGAACTGCATTTGAAAAGCGACCCTGATTATGTGAAAACAGAGATCAAGACCGAGGTAGACGAATGTTCGAAGAAGAACTGTGATGCACCAGAAATTGAAAACTCAAATGATAAAGCAAGCGATGACCACGATGGTACGAATGGAGCCAACTCAAGACCAAACCCAAGTGGCAATATAGAACAGCACGCACATAAGACAAAAGCAACAAAGAAAAGAGGAACGAAGAAAAATGACAATGCAAAAATTCAGATTGATCCAATCGAAAAAAAGATAAGAAGAAATACAAATGCAATTTGTGCAGTTATTCTGCATCGTATAAATCTATGCTCATTAGGCATATACCTAATACCCTTCGTATGTGAAATATGTGCAAAGGCTTTTACACAAAAAAGTGGTTTGAATCGACACAAGAAAGTCCATGCCACCGAATTTCCATTCCATTGTCCAAAGTGTCGTCGAGGATTCAAACAAGAAGTCGAAAAGATCGAACACGAAAATCAATGCCAATATCGACAATACGAATGCATTGAATGCAAATACATCACTGATAATTCGTTACATTTCAAACAACACATGCCAATCCATAGTGATGTGAGGCCTTTCCAATGCCGCATTTGTTCAAAAACATTTATATGAAAAAATCATCTTCGCCAACATTCGCGCACTCACACCATACAACTACCGTTTGCCTGCTCGAAATGTGGACAACGATTTGCTGACGGAAGCTGTAAAAAAACGCATGAGGATCGATGCAACTGTCTTTTCGAATGTCGTTTCGAATGTTATCTCTGCCCATTCAAATGTTTCCAGAAAAGTAATTTGAAATACCACATGCAATCAAAGCACACAGGCGAAAAACAATTTCAATGTAATAAGATAATAAGTGTGCGATAAGAAATTTGTTGTGAAAGGTAATCTCAAGAAACATTTGGCGATTCATGTTAAACCGAGCCCAATTCGTTGCATCAAATGTTGTCGTCGATGTTTACAAATCGAAGGCGATAAGAATGCACATGAAGAACATTGCAATCGACACCACTACGAATGTTACATCTGCAAAGCTTCAGTTCGCGATTCACTGCAATTAAGAAGTCACATGCGAAATCATCATACCATTGACAAACCGTATCCATGCAAATGGTGTGATGCCTGCTTTTCACTACAACACGGCGCCAATCGTCACATGACGAATGTTCATCGCTCGCAGCAGCCAATCTAAACTACTGAATTCCATACACATACTTTTTTTTGAAAGAATTACCAATAACATTTCATCTGTAAAATCAATTTAAAGTGTTAAATAAACTAAAGCGCATAAAAGATCGTCTTTAATATGGTTCATCCGTCTTGATAAAACATGTATATTTATTTCAAATACTATTCAACGATCCAATTGTAATCAAACTAAACATTTTTCCTACTACGCACATTATTATTTGTACATTCACATCTACTTAATATTTGAGATTGTAGGCGAACAGTGCGATAACTGGTAATTGATTAGTTGGAAATAGCGCCTAACTGTAGGCACTGCTTATTGCTTATTTGCAAATAGCTGAATACAAGCTCCGTAAGTAACAATTCAATGAATACAAGTGTCGAACTGGCAATATATTCGACTCAAGCCGGATGTATTGATTTGTTCACCAATTCAATCGAAACCATTTGCGAAAGGTTATGCGCATGAAAACAAACAAAAGAATAGAATAGAATATTCAATTTCTATTGCAAGTCAAAACCCAAAAAGATTAGACTCTATGGCAATGACCTTTGCCGTAAATAAAACGGAGATAACATTCAAGAGATGGACCGTTAAATTAATTTGCGAACAGACAAAACAACGTCACATGCTTGCATTCGGACACTTTTCATTAAACTTAATGAATTTTTGTTTGTTGTATCTTTCAAATTTTACGCATCAATTTCGATGTTTTTTGTTTGTTTGTATAATTTCTGTCACTGATTCGGCAAGAGTGTGCACAAGAGCATAAAAATACATTCTCCTGCATAATTGAATTAGGTTTGTGCTCTCGTTGTCTCGCATGTCCAACCATCAACCGAAAGACCAAAAAACCACGCTCGAATTGAATTATATAAATATTTATGATGTTCCATTGAAATTGCGTTGCTATTTTCGTAGGCAAGTGTATGACACTGGTGAACTCTGTACATGTTCCACTCTACCAAGTGTTTATATTACGCATTACATTTTTATTAGACCACTGAAGATGGCTTTTTATCGACTTTGGACCGGCGACGATGGATAATAAATTATTTTTATTTGTCAAACCACTTTTGACTCGGAAGTTACGATCGAATGAAGACGACTCAACAGAAAAGAGAGAAGAACTTGGAAGAAGGTAGAATGAAATCTCCACTTTAGATACACATTTTTGATAGAAGTATAGAGCGAAATTCTCGTTTTAAACACGTTCTAGCGTTTAATACATGGACATGAACGATGATCACTTGAAATATAATTACCTGTCACTAGTGCAATTAACACTTGAAAATGTCAAGTCATAAAATTCACTCAATTACATATTTTATTTCATTGTAAGTGTATAAATAGAATATAATAAGTGTCAAGCATCATGTAAGTATGAATGACATCTAATGAATATAGGCGAACTAGTTGCCACGACGGAATTTACATTTTACTCATCGATTCAGTAGATACTCGAACTTTCTACGGTGTGGCACGTGAAATCTTTCTTTACAAAATAATTACTTGAACACCGAAAAAAATCATTTCGTTTGATAAGTATGAAGAGGATAATTCTACTGGTTATTTATTTTGGCACAGTTTTGGTCAGTGTTTTTGCGGGTAGGATACAAATTTTACAATTTGAAGCACCTTTGACGGTAGTGGCCGTGGGGTTTTTCTGCTTTTCAATGCCGCTTTTTCACACAAAATCTCTAGACAATGTAGTTTGTCCAACAACAAATAGCCGCATTTTAACGCATATGGACTCATATGAAATTTTCTTCGAGATTCGACTCGAAGCTATTTCGATTCCATTTCATGCCGATTTTGGGATATTTGATCTGATTGAGACGGAAAGCGTATTTTTTAAGTTTTTTATGGCAGTTCCATTAGAGCCATTTGTCTTTCCTTTATTTTTTGTTTTGTGAAATAACTTGATTTTAAAAGATATGTGAATATTTTCAGTTTCAACCAATCGCGAAGTGAACCGGTGAGTAACGGAACGAGGTTTTGTGGAAAAATTGAAATTTTGTACTGCGATGCAAATTATTGCTTCAAAAATTGAAAGATAAATTGTTTACTTCATACACCTAATTAACAGATCATTGCAAAAATTACGCAACAGTGAATTCAATACAAAATCTCATAAAGTTAGTAATTTCAAAACCAGCAAGTGTATAACGATCGATGGTTTCCATTTTATTCAGTTGATTTACAAGATTCATAAGTAATTTGAGTATAAGAACTCATGGTTCATACCGTTTGAAATCTGAAGATACGGGGGTTGGTCCAAGAAAAAATTCAATTGCCTAATTTTTCGTTCAAGAACTGTAAACTAAAGCTTAGTACAAAAAAAATCAAAAATAGATATTTCTTCTTTATGTTCAAGGCCATCTAATGCGACTCTGAAATTACTGGAGGCATCTGATACCGGTGAGTTCAAAAGTGACCAGTTTTTTTGAACCTGATATTTAATTTGGTGTTTGTGATGATTTGATGAAATCGTCATTTATTGTAGGCAATGAAAGTCTGGTCAAGCAATTAATAAAAGACGGTGCTGATGTGAACTTTGTAAGCGAAGATCTGTATGGCACATCGTTGCACTATGCTTCAATCCGGGGTTAGTTCTATTGAGTCTTATGTCGATTGCTCAAAAAAGACTAATTCTAATTTCGTGTTTCAGGACATGAAAAAATTGTAAATTTACTGATTGAAAACGGTGCGAATGTCAATGCAGTAGGTGAATTCGGAAGGACGGTAATAATATTTCGGCATAAATATTTGTCAATATATATAGTTTTCTTTTTAAATATTTCTTTTATTTTTTTAATAGCCCCTCTATTCGGCTATAACCTATGGTAATAGTAAAAAATTGTTCATTTGTTTTAACACTTGACAGAAAAGTATTCATATTGAAAACCGCAAATTAACCGACTAAAACTTGGCAGACTTGAAATAATCGCGCGATTTAATTGCTTGCATAGGTTATGAGAGAATCGTTTCTAAGCTTCTTCAAAAGGGCTCCAGTGTAAATACAGTAACAGACGACACTGATACAACACCGATTTGTTTTGCAGTTAGTGGAGGTATATTCATTTAATTAGACTGGAAATGCAAATCATTGTAATTATTATAAAAACAAACTCAAACACGAATATCAAGTCTAATTTTCAAACAAATATTGTCATCGCTCAGGCTACGATAAAATTGTTAAAATGCTGATTGATAATGGAGCTGACGTGAATTTCAAAGATAAAGAGAGCAAAGTGTCACCTCTACACCAAGCAGCACTTTATGGTTATTTATTGCAATTTTTGATTTAAAATACTTTCAATTTAAAGTCGCTTGCATTTAACAGGCTATGAAAAAGTTGCAAAGAAATTAATTCATAATGGTGCCTTTGTGAATAGTACCGATAAAAATGGAGTTCAGCCGATTCATTTAGCTGCAAGCGGGGGTGAGCGATACAACTTTTATTTGTGTTTTTACTTCTGAAAACTTCAATGTTTTTCGGATCTAACAACAGCATGCCAAAATGCGTGTTCGTTTATTCACGTTCGTTCGAGATTTGATTTAGAACGAACAAAAATATTATCGTTGTCACTTTTACTCAGGATTATCTATAAAAAGTCATACTTTCGGGCTTCATATTCTGTAAGAAAGCTCACGGAAAAGTCAAAATCGTGTCATTGATCATTTTCTAAAAGAACTTTTACTTGTTACCAAAAATTGACTCTCGTTTCTCACCTTGAAGTAATTTTCAGTAAAAATGTGCACTTTCCATTTATAGGCTATGAAAAGGTGGTTAAAGAACTCATAAGACATAAAGCAGATGTGAATATTAAAGACAACGAAAACAGCACGCCCTTGCATTACGCTGCAGACGGTGGAAATACAAGAGGTTAACCGAAATAGTTTTAAATCTCTCTTTTTCCTAAAATCCTAGTGTGAGAAAGGTATTTCAATCAAATTGAACCAACTAACTGAGTTATTCATTCAGGTTATGAAAAAACCATTGAAAGACTGATCAGAAAAGGTGCCGAAATAAATGTGAGGGATGAAAATGGGCGAACACCAATCTATGTAGCAAAAATGAAAGGTAAATTTACACCTCTAGCGTGTGTCGCATGACATTTTCAGAATATTTATTCAATATTTTCAGGTTATGACAACATAGTTGAGATTTTGGAACACGCGAAAAATCTATGAAAAGAATATCTAAGTTTCGATATTTTCAACTATAAGCTCCGATATAAATTTAAATCTTTTATTGATCTAAGATGCAATTTGTGGTGCAAACTTACAATGTATTCCATTAAAAATGAAAATTTGGTTCAAAAAACAAACAAATTGATCATTTAAGGGTCAAAATCTCATCTAAAACAAATCGATCTTGGTTAATTTATCGAAGGAAGTCAAGAAGAACTTTTGGTAGAAAAACAAAATTTACTGTAATTTTCTCATAGAAATAAAGTATTGATAATATTCTCTGTGTGTGTCCTAATGTAAAAATCCCGTGTTTATTTATCAAATACGTTCGACAAACGTGTTTAAATAAGGAATATTTGTGTCAAATTCTTCATATAATTTTTTTATTTTCTTATTTTTTAACAAAGATATATTCAAAATTGTTTCTAATTAGTTTAAACATACTCACATTTGGTAAGTGCTATCTCTAGCACACAGTTTCACCAAGAATTTCCAATAAAAAAATTCTCTACACGTTCACTGGGGAATTTAAATAACACGCCACGTGGAAATTGTTCAATATATTATTCTAAGCTACGTGCAGCTGCTGCATGTATATAAGAAGTAGCCATGTAATAGATCGTCAAGTCGGTAAAAGAGCTTTATGATCAAGGTGATCAACCTTACAAAAGTGAACTCAAAAGTGATAGAAAAATGTTGGCAAGAACATTGTTTGCTTTATTTGTGACTATGTTCGTTTCTTCTTTGGTAAGTACTACCTTAAAAACTAGTTCTAAATTCGCTTTTAATCTGTGCCATTTTCCCCATAGAACTTGATTGCAAACGTCGAGGGAGCACCCAAAGTATAATACTTTATTCGCATTTTTTCCCAAATAAATGCAATGATTACGTCTTTCATCAATTTAAATAACGTTATTTTCGTTGCTGAGTTAAAATTTGTGCGATGAACGCGAACACGTATTAAGACGACATGTGTTTTCATTTTTACTTGATGAGTGATGTGTTATTTTTTCGTTTCCCTTGTCTTTCTCCTAGATCAAAACTTACACAGCCGCTGTGGTCGAAGTGAATTCCATTATTACGCAACAAGCTGTCGAGATAATTAGATCGAAAGAATTAAAAGGGGTGGATATTGTTGTATTTCCAGAAGGAATTTTCGATCAACAAAACACTCCAGTTGCACTTCCAAGCACAAAGAGCGCATACTGTGATGATCCAAACGCTGATCTGTTGTTGCAAAAAGTGTCTTGTGCAGCTAGAAAGGCCAAAATGTATGTTGTAATCGATTTGGTAGTAAAAGTGCAGTGCTCCTTAGCAGAATGGTTGTGCTGCCCGAACAGTGGTGATTCTACACATATTTACAATATGGCCATCGCTTTTGACCGGAACGGCGTTGCCATTGCCATGTGAGTGGACAAATATTAACAGGCAGCACAGTTTCATGCAAAATCATTCTTTTTCGATTAAAAGGTATCGCAAATATCACTTATTCGGTGAGTATGGAGTTGAGCAGCCAAAAAACCCAGACTTAACAACATTTAAAACGGACTTCAATGTGACATTTGGGTTTGCCATCTGTTTCGATCTGATGTTTGCCGATCCAATGGAAAATCTAATGCAGAAAGGAGTCAAACACTTTGTTCATCAAGCAGCCTGGTTTTCAGAACTGCCATATTTAACTTGTACATGACCCTCATTTTGTTTTTGCATAATTGTCATATAATTTCAAAGATTCTCTTTCCTTCCAGCCGCTCAATACCAACAAAGTTGGGCATATGCAAACAACGTAAATTTACTCGCTGCAAATGTGAATGCACCAAACATTGGATGCTCCGGCAGTGGTATTTACAGCGGACGTTCGGGTGCTTTGCAAGTTTTTGTAAGTGAATCGCCTGCGACGAAAATTCTCATCGCAAAAGTTCCGATCGATTTGCCGACTAGTTCTCAGGAGCAAATCACCAAACGACAAAATTCAAATATAAAACTTGTAAAGACTCGATCAATCAGTCCACAGAACATTGGTGACATCAGTCAAGATGTTAATTTGAGTAAATTTTCCGTGAAATTTTTAAACTTTTCTCAACATCTCAGCCAAAGTGGATCGCTATGTAATAATAACATTTGCTGCAATTATTCGATCGTAGTCAGTGATAGCGGAGAAGCAAAAGGAAAGGTAACATATTCATTTGAATTTTTGCATTTATTTCGGACACATTAAACACTTTTTTCTGACTTCAGTCATCATATTCATATGCGATATCTGTGTTTAATGGCCTTCGTCGCTACAATGGCATAAAAAATGTTTTAACTGGACAAGATGTATGCAGTGTGATTGCTTGCGCCGAAATGAATTCGAAGGAGTCTTGTGGCATTGAAATACCCAAGAAAACGCTTCACAGTCGATACAATTTCAAAAAATTGTATTTGGAAACAACAATTCCAGTCACTCACATGAAAATCATGCCAAATACACTCTCACACGAACTACTACCGCTCAAAACAAATGAGTTTGATTTCAAATTGAAAGTCAGATGTGATCAGATTTCGACGGAATTTTATGTTTCTTGTTTGGATTTCAGGTCGGAGATCAAGGGAGCTAACAAATATAGCGCTGCTTTGAAATTGAAATCAATGAAATCAAATATTTTCACATTTGCCATTTTCTCAAGAGACTATGACAGAGATGTAGTCGATGAAGCATAGGCCAAATAATAAGAAATTAATGAGAAATGTATGCAAGCTTTGGAAAAGTATCACCAGAAAAAAGTTGTTTTATTGCAACATTGTCGGTGAATAGTACCCATTAGAAATTTGTGATGTAATATTGAAAAATAAAACAACCTCATAAATTCTGTATAAGAGATATATTTATTTTTTCTTCGGCTTGAGTGAAATTTTTTGGAAGTATGTTTTTTTATGGAAATGCCAACGGGTTGTTCATTAAATATCAAATTCCATCAATTTATTTGACTATAAACTATGATTACATCATTTATGACCGTGAATAGCAAAACATGGATACAAACATTATTTCACCATCATTTTATACATGAAAGGCTACTAAGAATTAAAATATTAAATATTAATTATTATATTATATTGAGGCTATTCAATATTCGCATAAAATATATTGTGCACCAATGTAGCACGTGTGTGTATACAATTGTCCATTTCTTATAAAAACACAATTATAGCTGTTGTCTGGCTCACCAACCCCCCATTTAGTTGTTTGTATTTCATAATCGTAGGCTACGTAGCCAAACCAATAAAACTTATCTCCACTTCTTTGTCCCGATGTCCAAATCGCTGAATATTTAAAAAAAAATTAAATTCTGTATTAAATATACAACATAATTTCAATTAAATACAAAACTTACCTGCATCAGAATAACCAACACTTGTTAAATAGTTCACAAGATCTTGCCATTCTCCTTCTGATCTTATAGCAACTAGGCGTTCTCCATTTTTCAAGCAATATTCGTTTGCTTCAAACCAAGACTTTTTCTGAAAATACCAAATTAAATATTGTTATAACCAGACATTAGGCTCGAGCTATGCATATAGCGGCTGCTATTTTATAGGTGCTATTCATAGGCGCTATTTAATTCGTGTGCTGTGTGTAACACCGAGTAGGAATATCATAGCCTACTATTCTTTTGTACATTTGAATGTGAGTACGAGAGAGATGTAGAAAATAACGCACAATATGCATAAATGCATTAAAACGAGATAAATAGCGCCTATGAATAGCAGCTATGAAATAGCGGCCGCTATATCCATAGCTCAAACCTAATGTCTGGTTATAACCATAAAATTCCAAGACTTCGTTACAAATTGTTGTGCAAAATGCAGTGCAAAATATGAGGCTAGGGTCCTTTTCTCTTAATTAAGAGTATAATATAAGATTCATTTTACTGATTTCATTCTTATTTCAGCCAAAATTGTATATCCGTATCATACTAAGCACGGACTGAGTCATCATATCATATAGATTATAGGAATGGCAGTGAATGTGATCTCCTTTTTGGCTATAATTTTTTTGTCGTTTATATGCAAAACGGTAAATTTACATGATTGTTTACGGACACTAACAACACAATTGATCCATCATTTAATAAATATATTGCGCACAACATCAAATCGCTAAGTCCCTTCTCAAGAGAAAAAACTTAAATCATACGTCATAAATAAACACGGAATTTAGAAAAACGCTTACTGTTGCGTAATGTCGATATTGTTTCTTCCTTAGTTGTATTTGTATGTTGCTTTTGTATTCGATGGCATAGTACATGAGTTTCCCGAAGATATTTACTACAAAGAAACATAAATCATTAAATTAGAGAATCCAACGAGAGAACCCATTGTTGCACAAACTCACTCAATTTTTCAGAACGTTTTAATAATTTTCTATTTACTTCAAGCGATGACGGCAAAGCCATGCTTTGACTTTTACAGTAGTTTTTTCGGTCAATCTGAAAATAATTCCCATATTAAGTTGTAGCTAAAGATATATCAGAACATATGAGACTGAAAATTGTGGGAGTTGCATACCTCTTGTTCTGTTAGGCTATAGATTTTATTATTCCAGACTGAAGATATATTCACCGAATAATTGTGGAAACAATCATAAGCACTCAACATATTTCGAAGCAACAAATAGACGTCATTCAAATCGTGCTTGAATTGCGCACGCAAGTTATTAAGGATTTCGTCATCACTTTTTTCTTCATCTTCAAACTACAACAAACAATAATGAAATATATTGAAGATATTAAAAAAAACTTAAATTTAATAGCTTACCCTTTTAACTGTTCGATTATGAGCTTTTTCAAGAAATTCCATTAAAACAGATTTGGTGATGTATGGTTCGACCTCGATAAATAAATTCAATATTGCACCTTGATACTGCTCCAATACACCGTTAATAGCGAAGCGTGTGTCATTCAAAGTAGTTTCAAAACTCTTTAATTCGTTATCAAATTCTTCGAAGGAGTTTTTAAAAATGTCGTCATTGTCGATTTTGCTGGAATTGAACTATAGAAAAAAGTTATTTTTTCTTGAAATGGTTTGTTCCACATTCGAACATTCGAACAATCTCACCTCTTTCAAATGAGTCTCTTTTAATTCCTGAAACAAAGTGATCAAATCGTCCACGTCCACTTGCTCATTTTTCACTTTGTCATTCAGTTTATTCCGAAGGGAGTTTTTAATTTCTTGTCGATGTTTCAGATAATTTTGCTGTTTGAAAAAAAGAAACTGTTCCTCTATATATATTTCCGTTCGACGCTGGTAGATCCATGCCAATTCATTTCGATCTAGTATCGTTTCGGCCTCAACCTATTCGAGATTTCAATATTAAAAGCAAAACGGAATTGAATTTTCCAAATGATTTTACCTTTACAATCGCCTCGTTCGATATTTTCAAGTGAAGATGTAACAAACGTGCTGAATCCAAATGCGTTTCTATTTCGTCTATTGACCTCTGCATTGAGCCAATGTAAAACTCCAAACAATATATGAATATTGAGCTGGCTGCTGGTGCTGTCGTCTATTTTAAATTGCAAGTAAACATTTTGTCAATATATTCGAAAACTTTTAGTTAATTTAGCTTTGCCCAAAAACATATTTACATACCTGGATATTATTCTGAGATTTGGAAAGTGACATTAATTCCTTTAGATGCAGGCCATTTTCTTTGGTTCGATTCAATACATTCACGTCGAATGATGTTATGTTCAAGTCCCGAATCAATGTCGAAAATACTTCAATTCTCTGTTCCATTGTTAATTCTTTTGTTACGTTCGCTCTCTTGCCAATTGACTCTACCGATTTCTTTCCAATGTGAAGAAAATCCAATTTGCTTTGAATATCACTCTTTTCCTTCAGTTTCTCATGTATTGCTGTCAATAATTGTTGATCAATACTTGCCAGGCTAACCGAAATATTATTCATGATTTGTTGTATTTCGCTTAATATGTTGTTTTGTATATTAGATTCCAAGTTCTTGAAAAAGACATAAATTCTATACAAAAGTGACTTGTAATCGATTGAATTTGCGTGTGATATCATGATATTTGCATCGTCGACGAATGATTTCAACCAATTTAGATTATTTTCATCTCGTTCAATTTGTCTGAGTTCCTGTTCATCAATCGATTGTAGGCCGATCTCTTTTATCAATTCTCTGAATAGTTTGGTGAGATTCTTAAAATTGATCGCATCCATTTGCTTGTAATATTCTAATTTCGATTGTCCAACATGGACTATTTCTAACATTCTTTTATAATCATGCAATGGTTGAATTCCACGATTTACTTCACTTTGAACTCGATTATTGATATTTTGTAATTGTAAGAGGAGGCTGTCTTTTGCTTGTTCCACCATTTTCTTGATGTATAGTTGAGCTTCGGTTGATAACGGAAAACCGAAATCTTTTGCCTGTATTGGCGCATATATTGTGTTATTTAGTATGGATTCGCGTATACGAGCACGACTCTTTACAAATTTATCGATTTCATTTAGTTTTCCAGCTTCATCTGGTTTCCAAAACACTGATATTTTGGGATAACTTCCTTCTGATTTCTTTAACAATGCATCGATCAACAAAACTCGTTCTGCCAAAATGCTTTTATCGTACAAAACCAATTTATGTGCAAGCAGAAATTCGGCCGTTGTATTTTGCACATTTTCTTCCGAAATGTCAACAATATGCCTATTGATTACATTGTACGATGGTGCTTTGGTCACCACCAATGACAAACTATCCCGAAAGTGTCCGACTCTTTTGATTAATTGCGTTGTGTATTTCAGAAAATTGTCAAAGTCAGTACGATCGTGACCTTTTATGACGGATTCATATTGTACAATCATGACGATTTTTATATTTGAAGCGCTTTCGATGACTCGTTTAATTAGAGCTGCGTTTGTAATTTCAACCGTTTCATTGCGTGTATCAGTGAAACCGGGACAGTCATACCACACATTTTCATCATCGTCGATCACCATTTCTGGAATCAATGTGCGCGATACTGTTGACGAAATAATGGTACTATTTTTGGGGTCTAGTTCATCTTTAATTTCGAAATTAAAATCATTTGGATTTCTCGATTCAACAGAAGACAATTTACTATAATCACCAGCCGCATAATGAACCAAAGTAGATATACCGCTGCCCGTATTACCAATCACCAATATAATGTTCGGATTATTTTTTATTTTCAATTGTTCTACAGCTTTGTCCAATGAACTTTTAACTATTATATTTGCACTGCTGGACACAATTATTACCAGAGTACACAGAATGAATGTAGAAAACGAAACCATTTTGGACTCCAAACTTTTGAGTTAAAAACAGAATTAAGACTGATGTAAATACAAAGAATCACACCCGTTTATATATTTGCACTAAAAATTGGCTCGGTATTAATTATGATAAGAGGCCATTTTTTCGACATCGATCATGATTCACATTATCAGCATTTTCAATTAAATTCTAAAAATTGATGAGTAACTAAAATGATAGACGTAAATATTTGAACTCTTATTTGCATGTTGGCACTACGTGCTATTTCAAATCATACTGAGCTGTTATCATTTCAACGTAGTTACAATATTTGAAATATAAGTTTGAACTCCGTAAATCTAGCTTTTCAGCACTTTTTCCAAATGTTTTCCTTTATCGAACGAATATTCATTTTACGAAAGAGATTGAACAATGATCATTCAGCGGTCATGAGCGTTTCTGTTATTTTAGGGTTGACGAATAACGATTTGAAAATAGACAATGTCAAAAGCAGTTAAAGTGTATGTTTAGTAAATTTAGGAACCAAGTAAGTTTTATGTCAATACCAACCGATTCTTAGTCACCTCCAACCATCATAAGTCAAATTTTGATTTACTTTTCAGTGGGATTTTTTTTAGGAATTATCAAATTTTGTTGGATGATTACAATACAGTAGTGTGTGCGTAAAAGTAAATGTTATTTTGTTTATTGATAATGCAAAACGGTTGACGTAAATATATGAACTCTTATTTGCAGGCATATCTTATCATTTTAAACCTTATATTAAAATACTTTGTACATATTTCATTATTGCAAGTTGCAAATAAAGAGTCTTACTTGGTAGTTGCGTATTTTATTAAGCAAGTTCAAAATAATATTTGTTCGATTTTT